CCTTCCTAATCCAGTTTTCTAGCAAATATTTTAATATCCCTTTTTAGCAACATATCTTCTGCTGCCGCTGTCTCCATTTTGTCAAAAATAAACGAGCGCAGCCTGCTTGCTAGGAATAAATGCACTAACAGGAGACAGAACAACTTTGGGTCTCATTTTGCACAGGCCTGATTATAGTCAAGTTATCTTTCCCAAGCATAACTATTGCTATACTTTGCCTGACAGTTCCAGCTCAGGAACATGGTTTTTTGCTTCAGCACAAAAATTGGTTAAGGTGACAATTCCCTTGTATATTTAAAAGGCCTATTTACAAGATGTTTTTAGAAAGTTCCCAATCTGGAGAAAGAGTATTAGTTACATTCTTTTGTACATTTAACAAACCTGTTGGAATATCAGCGTAGAGAGCTTAATTCACGTGGTCTTAACAAACAACAGCATTGTCCATTAGTTTGATCAAACAAACTTGCATCATTTATATTCTGTCTAATTGTGTCCTTTAGGAGTTAACAGCTCTGAAAGGAGGATGTCTATCAATAGCTACTAGCCATGGTGACTATGGGAAACCTCCACACTCAGGAGGCAACATCAGGGGAAGACCTTGGCCTCTATGCCCTGTTGTTGGTCCTCCAGAGGAACTGGTTGGCCACTGTGTGAAGGATGTTGATACAATGTGTAATCACTTCATGATGTTTATTCTTTTCCACAGCAAGACGTCAACAGACGGTTAATGAAGGACAAACTTCCCCAGAGCTACCGTTCGTTTCGAACTCTCTTTTTCAAACAACGGTCTCAGTTCCAAATGCAGAATTTCAAAAGCTCTTGGCAACAGAATGAATAAGTCGAGCTTTTGAAATTCTGCATTGAACTGGAAAGAGTTGTTACTAAAGGTCTCGTGATGTATGGATTTGGAACTGAGACCGTTGTTTGAAAAAGAGAGTTCGAAACGAACGGTAGCTCTGGGGAAGTTCGTCCTTCATTAACCGTCTGTTGACGTCCTGCTGTGGAAAAGAATAAACATCATGAAGTGATTACACATTGTATCAACATCCTTCATTATATGCACTGTTGCAGTATTTGTTTTTTGTACTGATATTGTCATACTGCTGCCCCTTGTACTTTTCTATGGCCACTGTGTGAGACAGGATGCTGGACTAGATGGACCATTGGTCTGATCTGGCAAGACTTTTCATATGTTCTTATGTCCTTGGTTTTTCAGGATTTGACCAAAGGTAGAGCTTGCCTGTTTTTGTTTTAATTAGCTCAGGAAAGGCCACATCATAAGCCAGTCTTTTTGGGTCTGATGGATTCTTGGGCCATCTAGGTTTTTAAAAACCTATTGTACCAGTGTTGTCTATGTATTTAGTAGCAGGGATTGGACAATTCAGAAATGTAATAAATAATAATGAGAGTTACAGCACATCTCCTTTGAAGATCCTAAGTGTGCTAACAGTGAACAGAGCAGCTTTTGGTCTAGTTTATTCTTGCACAGTCATGACTGTAGTGAAGTTCATCTGACAAAGGGGACTCTGAACCACAGTTTTTAAGGTGCTTCAAGATGCTCTGTTTCACTGCAGCAAACTGGTATGGCCTACTCTTCTGAGGTTTTTCATTTGCTTGCACGTATTGCTAAACAAAACAGGGAGCAGAACCCAATAGTGGCTGCGGTCACACGGAACATTAGCCACGCTACAGAGACGGAAGATAGGCGGATTTTCCGTGTGCGATCTCACTGGCACATCTGGGAAGCGTAGTGCTCCCGTGGGTCACCCGAGGCTTCCCGTCGAATACACGCAGCAAAAAACTAGTACCTCGGAGGTACTAGTTTCCGGAAACCACGGGGCAAGGGCGGGTGTCTGATCGCGTTTCCGGTGGCATCCGGCGCCCGCCCATGTCCCCTCGCAAAAAGCTTTTTTTCCCTCAAGTCTCCATGGATGCACACAAGCACCCAATGGAGCATGCACATACTTCAATGTACAGGGGAAAAAAACGTTTGCCCTGGAGGAAGGCGAAGAGGCGACTGCTTGTCCAACCGTCCCCAGGAGCCTCACAGAAGGCAGCTCAGAGTCGCCCAGAGCGGCAACCCCCCCCTCCGGGGGACCTGCCTTTCGGTTTCATTGTCAGGACTCAAGCTCCCTTTTCCCCGCCCCTTGGCCACGTCCCTTTCTCCCTTCTCCTCCCACCGAGTGCCCTTCGGGGACATGTAGTCCATTTCAGCCGCTTCTTTGCCGCATGGTCGTGTGATCGGCACCTTCCCCCTATACACGGGACCTTTACGGGACCTCCAGGAGACGTCTGCTCGCGCAACCGCACATTATTTTGCCCCGGGGCTAACAGCTATGCTCCCCCCCCCCACATTTTCCTGCCTGTGTGACCGGAACCACTATATACTTCTTTTGATTTGTATGAAAGCTCATATGAAGAAGCTGGACCAAAAATTTAGCACCTGCCTGGTTACAGGCAGGGCACTAAAATAAGTAATTGGGAATGCCTGATTCAGCACCCTCCATGCAAATCTGAAATGTCTATCCTGAAATGCCTGGAACCTTAGTTGTATGACAGCTCTCAGATCTGGAGACTTGTGGAGGTCTGCTAAATGGCACATCTAATGAGTTTATGCTGGGGAAGAGCTTTTAGAGCAGGACAGCCGATCAGTCTTGTATGAGTGAAGGGCAGCTCTGCTCGGTAGTGTGGCTGAGTGATTTAGCTCTACCTCTGAGAGAGAATGGAGTACCCGACTGTGAGGCTGGTATCTGGCAATGAGCAGCCCTTGTACCATTTAGTCTGACTCTTGGGGAAGGGCAGGCTGGTGTGGATAGAATCCTGTGTGTATGAGGATCCAACCTGGTGGCTAGTCAGTAAAAGCCTGTTTATGTCTGAAAGCATTAAAGAAAATTTAAATTACTCTCTGAAGCCATAACAAGCTTAAATTTATGTGCCTCTTCTCTGACCAACTTGTAAATAAATAATTTTTCTGTGTTGTTTATATACAACTCCTGTGTCAGTGATCTCTGTATACTATTTACTTACCATAAAACTTACCTCATGGCATCGAACCCAAAGACTTCACACTTGCTACTTTCAGAACACTTGGTAACTGTGGGGAAAGTTTATAGTTTAAGACAAACCTAGTTCCCCAAAAATCACATGAAGTTGTGTGGGTCCCCTCAGTTGATAGGAAATGCCTATCACAGCCCTTCAGGGCAACTCATTGGCTGCTGTGTGAGAGAGGTGCAGGATTAGATGGACCACTGGACTGTTCTTATCTATGTGTTGAGCATGCATGCATATTTTGCTGTAGCTTCAGGAATTAGAAAGCTATGATGGCTGCAGTTTCTCTTCATGTCGATGAAGTGGGTATTTCCAGCGAAGTACACGTATGTGTAAGAAGAAGAAGAAGAAGAGATTGGATTTATACCCTGCCCTTCACTACCCAAAGGTGTCTCAGAGCAGTTTACAAACTCCCTTCCCCTCCCCACAACAGATGCCCTGTGAGGTAGGTGGGGCTGAGAGAACTCTAACAGAAACTGCTCTGTTTCAAGAACAGCTGTGCCAGAATTATGGCTTGCCCAAGGTAGGGCTGCCAAGTCCCCCTGGGGGGCGGATTTCCCCCCGCTTTGGAGGCCCGATTTCTGCCCCCGCAGAATCGGGCCCCGGGGAAAACCCCACCCCCACGTGCACGTCACAGGGAAGTGATGTCATGACGCCGGGCACGCTGGGGGCGGAGCCACAGCGTCATGACGTCACTTCCCTGTGATGTGCATGCAGCGCATGCACGCTCCGGGAGCGACCCCAGAGTCCCCTGCCGGCGAGGTAAGTCCGATTTGGCAACCCTAGCCCAAGGTCGTCCAGCCAGGTGCAAGTGGAGGAGTGAGGAATCAAACCCGGTTCTCCCAGATTAGAGTCCATGCACTTAACCACTACACCTAACTACATCATTCCTATGTGATCATCATACTGTGCTCAAGTAATTTCTACAAGGATCTAGTGCCTGTGAAGGAGATTTTGTAATGTGTGAAGAGTGCAATCATTCATAGACAAAATAATTTGGGATGCTGTTGAAAACCACCCCACAACTGTTCTCAGGTCACTTATTCTGGAGAAGACTGAAAGAACAGTCCTAAGCCAGTCTCCTCAGAATCCTTCCTGGGTCCTTTCAATAGGGCTTACTCCCAGGGTAGTGTTCTTAGGGTAGCACTGTCGGTGATGTTAATAGTGTTTCTGCTATGTGTGGGACTTGACATTTACAC